TGGATTTCTTAAAATTGTACTTACAATGGAACATCAGTGTCGGGAATTTTGATTCACTTTTTACAGGTTGTTCTTGAAGGGAGAAAAGAAACGGTACGTGTCCGGCCGTTTTAGCCATTGGCCTATAATTTCGAAGAAATCAATTTTTTAAATAAATATTGTAATAATTTGAGAAATGTGTATAGGAAAATATCAATACCTTTATAAATTTCATTTTATTTCGCCGAATGTTAAGGATAAAATTACATCTAGATTCTGAATCTCGGATGATGATTTCTGAACATAGCAAGTAGACCGCGCGCTATTCGAAATATTGCTCACTTCAGTAAGCATTCGACTCACACGCACAGTGATTTTCTGAACTGAAGAAATATTTTAATAAAATTTACCAGCATGGAAAACGATAAAAATGTTCGATGAAATCGCACATTAATGGAGTGAAAACTATGATTTCTGATACTGAGCAAAATAAATCATCTTTGTCGCTCTCAAAACAAAATATAACTAATGGACTAAAAATTTGTGATCAAATTTTATATAAAATACGACTGCCTGAAAAAATAGAAAGTTCCGTGCTTTCTGAAAGAGCAGAGATTATTGGAAAGATAATTGTGGAATTTGTGACAGAAATGATTCGTGACTTTCATTTAAAAGAAGAATTACTTTTGGTGAAAGAATGCATCACACATGAAGATATTAACACGACTAATTCTAAAATTTCATCACCAACTTATTACACTGACAATTGAAAATTAATAAAAATTCTAAAATGATAATTGACTAACACAAACTATAGAAATCAAAGCCTTTAAACGATATAGCTGGATCTTAATGCTTGTATGATTCTTGTGTGAATTTATATATTACGTATGTAGTCCCCAGAAACGCGTCAAAATGATTTTTCGGTCTTGAAGCACTAATTCTACTAAGCTATTGTAGTAATATCACGAGTTAAATTGACTAACAATTTAACAAATTTAACAATTTAACCAATTTTTTATGCTTATTCGCATCTTCGAACCGATTTTAATATATCATTCAACATTATTAAGATCGTTTCGAAGATGCGAATAAGCATAAATAATTTAACTCGTGATATTACTGCGGTAGCTTAGTAGAGTTAGCGTTTCAAGACCAAAAAATCATTTTGACGCACGTTTCTGAGAACTATTGTACATACATAGTATATAAATTC